AGATGGAAGGCTTCTTCCATCTAGAAGTGATGACTGCTCCCTGGGGACCCCGCCTGGGGCTGGAGCAGTGGTAGATGGAGCAGATTACCCTGAGAAGCTTTCTCTCCTATCTCTGGGCTTGGGCCCTGATGCAGCTTAAGACCCCAGCTCTGTCCTAACTCATGCCCCTCAAATGCCAAGGGAAATGGAGGAAGGAAGTAAACATGCCTGGCCACCTGGATCTTGGGTTCCATCCTGGCCACTTTCTCTGTGTTGCTCCATCAACTTGTTACCAAAGCCCCAGGATGCAGATGTTACCCCCATTCTTTAGATGCAGAAACAGGCTTGTTACTTGCCAAGGACACATGGCTAGGATTGGACCCCAGCCCTGTCTGCCTCTAAAGCCCCTGCCACTTTCTATTCTACCTGAAGGAAAAGGGGGCTGAGGCCCCCCAGAAGGCAGGAGGGCCCTTCAACACCCCTCCCATGGGAGCAGACAAGAGGGATGCAAGGATGGGGCGGGTGGAATGGGTCCCAGGAAGCTGAGCTCCCATCTAGGTGGTGAGGGTGGTTGGGGCCAGGGGCCACGCTCTCCTGGAGTTCAGCCTCAGGACCCAGAAACTTCACAAAGGTGTGCACAGAGCAGCCCGGATCTGGGTGTCAACTCCACGAACATTATTTGTGCAAGAAAGCACCCACTCTGGGAACACCTATGCCTGGCTTGGGGTGGGGTGGCAGGAGGTTCCTACTCAACAGAGATGGACACACAGCCTGTGTGAGTGGCCCACAGGTGGTTTGCCGCCTGTGTGTGTGGCCGGGGCACGATCAGCCCCTCACGGTGAGGCCTCGCCTTTCTGGTCCCCACCCTGGATGGGAAGCCATTTCCAGCCTCTCTGGAGCGGGGCAGTCTGTATGCAGGGGACAGGGATGGGGAAGGCTCCCGCAGCAGGCAGAGCAAACTGCCCTCCCCACCAGCCATGGCAGCCCTTCCTGTCTGGCCAGAGAACCCAAACTCAAAGCGAGGAATATAAAGAGAAAAAAATAAGCACTTGACTGTCCACAACTCTAAGCATGTGGGGGCTGAGAGCAGGGTCCGAGCACCACGGCCAGTGGCAATACTTGTGGTAAGCACTGGAGTGAACGAAAAGGAGGTGGCTCAGGCTAGAGAGGCATCCAGGCTCCACGTGTCTCTGCCCCCTGTAGCCCACTCAACGCACACCCTTGTGTCCAGCCCCTCTGCAGAAGGGGAGTCGGGAGGTGTCTCAGAAGGGCTGGGTGGAAGCTGAGGGCTGAGATAAGTAGAACAGTGTGGGGACTGCCAGCAACAAAGGTGCTGTCCTCGGTGTGGATGGAGCTGAGGATGCTGGGGTGGAGGGGGAGCATGGCCAGCAGGGTTAGGTGACACCCGTTCTGCAAGGCAAGGGAACTATAGTCTGGAGCCAGAGCTCGTCTGGGGGCTATGGAAGCCCAACCCACCAGCAGTCAGAGCTGGGGATGCAGTGACACCGAGGCACCACCTCCCGGGGACCAGCCCAGTGACACATTGTGATGAGGAGGGAGGCAGGTGGTTCCTGAGTGCCCTCAGGTTCAGGGTGTGGACTGTACCCTGCAGGCACTGGGGAGGTTATGTGACAGAGGCTTCCAGCCTGGGATCCAGTGGGATTAGTCTGAGTGGAGGAGGCATAGGAGGGGGATGAGTGGGAGTGGCCACTGCAGTGGTCCAGGTGAGAAAGGTGAGGGAGAAGGGGACTGGGGGGTGACAAAGGAGGCAAAGGACACAGAGTGGCATTACAAGTAGGACTGAGCCAGAGGACTTGGTGACAGATTAGACGTGAAGCGTGAAGGACAAGGCAGAGCCCAAGGAGACTCTTTTAAGATTTCCAGTCCCAGGGGCTGGGGGAGTAAGGGGCTGGGGTGAGGCAGAGCCACCGGAAAGAGGGGGCAGGGACAGAGGGTGGCCTGGAGCAGGCAGCCCCAGGCAGGCAATGTGTGGACACGTGTTCCCAGGTGGCAGCCAAGCCCAGCACGGGGCCTTCATGTAGAGAGAGGAGTCCCCCACCACGGGCTCAGAGCAAGCTCCTGCCTTTTCAGATGCAAGGCTTGAGTCAGTGGGTCTGGGGCGTAGAGCAGCAGCAGCAGGAAGAAAGGATATGAGACAGGAGTGGCCCTGGGCCCTGGCTGAGGCCCAAGTGAAGGCTGCCCAGAGGACCCAGGCCAGTGCCTCTAGATTAGGGGTTTGCTATCTGGATCAAATGCTTAATCCTAGACTCCTGAGGGAAGCCCCTCCCAATATGGGCAAGAGTGGAGCAGGCAGGCCAGTCAGAGGTCCAGCCTCTCTTGAGGGTACTTGGGGTTAGCCCACCCCATCCCCAAGGCAGGGTGAGAACAGGGTATCTCTTAGCCCTAGAAAATTAAGATGCCCTCCTCCCCGCCCCCACCCCCGCATCAAACAACTGCTCCAACCTGGGGGCAGGGGATGGGCAGAGGGCCCCAGGGTCAGTGCTGAGGATGGGGACAGAGGCGAGAGGAAGAGCCACAAGGACAGCTTGTTTATGGGTCAGGATGGGCAATGCCAGGGCTCGGGACCCTCAGCCCCATCTTCAAGGAAAGCCAGCTCCCCATGGGTCCCCACCCCAGGACTCCACGGATCTGTGTGACTAGGAGACCAACGGGTGTATGCAGCCCCTCAGGGCACAGGGGGAAAACCTGTGAGACCTGCGGGTAGGTGTTCCGGGGCACAGGTGAGAGGGGTCGGCCTGGGGGCGTGTGTGCTGAAGGGGCAGGCTTTTGTGTGTGTTTCTGTTGTGTGATGTCGGGTGACAGAGGGTGGGCGCTGGGTCTGGGGAGGGAGAGGCTGCGGTCCTGTTGGCCTACTGGCGCCCCCTGCCGCCCAGCTGGCCATCCCTCCCTCAGCCACTCACAGATACATTTTTCACCGGCAGCTGTTGCCGAGTAGCTGATGGGCAGTGGGGGAGGAGCCGGGGTCAGCGCAGGGCCAGCAAGCCTGGGCATCCGGCCCTGGGCACACAGGGGACAGCAGAAAGAGGCTCCAGACTAGAAGCAGGGCCAAGTGCCCCACAGTGCCCTTCAGCAGCTCCTCCCAGGTAGCTGTGCTCCAGGGCAGCCCTGCGGTACTGGTGCCCACCTGCCAGCCCCCTGGGCAACCTTGGACCAGGCCCCAACAGGTGCCCTACCAACCAGGGATGCAGTTCCCCCACTCCATGGCCTCCTGAGGAATTCATGTGGCAGCCCCCAGCCCCCAGGCTACGGAGCCCTGACCAGCACCCATCACCCCCTTATCTACACACACTCATCTGTGCAACAGCACACAACTCTCACACACGTGCAGCACGCCAGCCGTCACACACACTCATCTGGCCACGCACATACCAATGCTGCACACACCACACCAACTCCCGCCGTCACCTGGGCACACATGCCAGTCCACAGCCCTCACACGTGCTCATGTGGGCGACATGCAGATATGACCACACAGCCCTCTCCACCCGCCCAACTCAGTCAACACTTACTGGGCATCTACTAGGTGTTGGGCAACACCTCCCTGTGTGTGAAGCATGAACACTCCTAGCTCCCCGCGGTGCCACCTGCACCCCCTGAGTGTTCATCTGGGGAGCTTCACACACGCCCCTCACACGCACATGTGTGCAACACAAACACGCCCAGCAGCAGCTCAGCCTCCCAGCTCAGTCAGGATTAGAAGGGAGGCCGTGCAGTAGAAGGGTTTGTTAAAGTAAGGATTTGGGGAGGTTCCTGGGGAAAGGAAATAGAGCGGGTGGGATGCGACTGATGAGGGCAGGGTGGGGAGGGCGGTCAGGCAGTGGTGGGTGCGGGATATGCTGTGCAGAGAGACCCTTTAAGGAAACAGCCATCAACATTAATCATTGGGGCTGGTCCCCTGAGCTCGCACTCATTGATCTCCGATCAATTTGGCTTCGCAGCTCAGGAACCCCCACGCTCCCTTCTGACACCCCTGTGATTAACAGTGGCCTGGCCAGGCTCTGGGGGGTGCTCCAACCAGGTTCTCCAGCAGAAGAAAATGGAGAAATGCTAGGGCAAGCCCATGCCCCCTTGATTACACAAATGACCCCCCCCCCATCGTGTACACACACATACAAGCTCAGTTCTGCTAAGTGAGTGGGGTGCAGGGATCAGGAACCCCCAAGAGCTCAGCCCAGGTGGAGGCGTCAGGGGGAGCAGACAAAGGATGCAGGGGAACTTCCTGCCACTACCCACCCCCCGCAAGGGGGGAGGGAGGTGGGCTGAGGGTTGAGTTATGGAGTAGGTTGGGGTGGCATGGAGAAAGGAGGGCTGTGGAGTTAGCGGAGAAGCCGTGGCAGACCAGCCACACACAATTCTAGTCCCAACGCGCCAAGAAAGCTGGGAGCTATAGCCGGGGCCACCGGGGCCGCGGCGCTTTGACTGCGCGGGCTGCAACGGCTGGAGTCTGGTGTATGCGCCTCCACGCCTGAGTGTGTGTGCGTGTGCGACCGTGTGTGGTGAGGACAGAGGAGGACACTGTGTTCTGGACGTGGGCAGAAGCCAGGTGCCAAGCTGGGAGATCGTGAGTGGCTGTTTGGGGGCAGAAGCTACCGGGAAGAGGTATCTGAACCCCCCAGATCTCCTGGGCACTGAGATGTGGTCAAAACCCGGTAACCGCGAACCCCCAAAGTCAGGCTCCCCAGGGCGCTGATCCAAACCTCCGACCCGGGACCGGGCAAGCAGTAAACTTCCCCCGCCCTGAGGCGTGGGGCGTCTACACTCGCCAGCCCCGCGCGCTGGCAGCTGCTCCTGGACTTGGCAGAACCCAGGCTTCCGGGGAAGCGCGTGGGGGAGCTGCGCAGCAGCGAAAGGAGGACCCCGCGTCTAGCCTCGCAAAGTTTGGCCTCGGGGGGCTCTCAGCCGGGTCTGGCAGTGCGGGTCAGGGACACCCCCCCAAGAGCAGCGTGCGTTCGCGCGCACGGTCCCCCGCAAGTCTTCCCAGCGCGCGCAGCGTGACTCACCCGAGCCGCGGAGCCAGACGGCGAGGACTATGCCCAGGAGCGCTGGCCACAGGCCGGGCCGGGCGGCCATGGCCGCGGGC